AGTTTTAARATTTGCTTACCAAAGAATCAGACATGAAATGAAAAAGAAGACACAGATGAGATTTTTAAATCTAGCCTTCCAATAGAATGAGTGATGCAGCTGCCTGTACAAGCACACTCTCATAAAATCTCATCTTGGAGCACATACATGGAAATGAAGCAGAATCCTTCATTATCAAACATTCTTTGGCAGCCCAYGCTCTGACGTGACAGCACGTAATGCAAATATTTAGAGCAGGAAGTCTTCAGGAATGATCAGTCACCACCAAATAGCAGCAGCTTATCAAGTAGTAATTCCTGTTGTGGAAAACCCAGCTGAGGCAGCACTTCCACACAAACAAACCAGAAAAAGTCTCTTTCACTAATCAGCTCCAATTTACACAACTTTTCCCACATTGCTAAGTGTATTTGATTAGTGCCACCACGATCTGTGAGACAGAAACAATAGCAAGAAAGCTCCAGAAGTTCAATCAGCTGAGGTTCTTTGCATCTAATACACAGTGAGTGAATGGTCCCAATTTAATGAAGACATTTGTTCTGAGGCTAAAGCATTGATTCTCCACTTACTGCCTTTTAATTGTGATGCACCCAATTTATCTTTTTAGGCTATAAACTCTCAGGKAAAAAGGTTCTTCTTCTTTCTTCTGTATGCTGTTCTCATGCCAGCTTTATTTCACTGCAGGAAAACTAGGTTACATAATTTTCATATTAGCAAGATAAACTTCCCTATTGCTAGATTTAATTGCTGTAACCCGTATTTCTTCCTGCAACATCTGATGTAAAGTTGAATCTGTGGTGACAATATTATGAATAATGAAGAGTTACAAATAAAGGAACATTCCAGATGTTGTGAAAATGTTTTTTCCTAGCAAGAAAACTGTTTGCTCATCCATACCATGGTAAAGGTAATGCTTTAGTACTATAAATTCCTATGCACAAGCAACACTGCCTTCTACTATTTCAGAAAAAAAGGAACCAGCCAGGGTGTTCATTTTCATTTTTTCCAGAATTGCAGGTGCTATGTTTTACTGTCATTACCCCCAAGCCTATCTGCTGCCCCAAATTCACATTTAAGCTCCTGTCATGTATGAATTGGCCAAAGTGCACAGCCCTTCGCTCCCAGATATTCAAGCTTGATGATTCACAGGCAATAAAATGTGACAGGACTTTTCACCAACAAATGAACTGCAGGGCATCCTAATCAGCAGGCAAGGCAGCTCTAATAACTGGGTTACAGCGTAAGGAGATAAACTCAAATGGAGCAGAACATTCATAAGACAAGAAAAGCGAGATGCTACTCAGCCTAAAGCTCCGCTGGTGCTATACAAATACATCCAACTTACACAGCAGCTTTTTTTCCCTTTGGAAGTGGGATTSCTTTCAACAGCCAGTTAAAGACGTCTCAGCAGCACATGAATAAGAATAGCAAACCGCTTACAGCCCCCAGCATGACTACTTCCAGCTTCTTTTCCCTTTTCAATTGCAACAAACTGCAGTCAGACACACAATGGAAGGGGTTTCTTTCRTTGTTTTAAACTGCAGTGTCAGGATACTGCTGGTTATCTGTGTTTTCAGACTCGTTGGCAGGACACACACCAAGCAGCCAATCTGCCAGCTGCTGACCCTGACGAAGGAGCTGCCACACGCTCCGAGGCTTGGACAGAACCCACTTGGGTGGCTCTGGCATCAGCTGCAGATGAGTTAGTGCTAGCAATAAAAACACTGTCCCTAGAAGGTCACCTGTCCCCAAATGCTGCTTCTCAAACGACACCTGCTCTGGATATTTTTTCCTAAGCTGTGCCAAAAAAAAAAAGCTTTGCTTATGTAAAAAACYGAAAGCCTCCTTCCCTCTGTCCCCCTACTGACAGCCTAAGAGTCAGAGTGAATTTGTGACACTGTCAAGACAATGGCAAAACTCTCTTTGGCTCAAGGCAACCATCCTTTCAAAAAAYTTCAGCCTCTACACCCACAGTAGGATCCTTAATGAGATTTTCTCCTTTTAAAGCTATTTTTTCTAATGCAGGTCTCTCAGCCACTGTTAAAACTCCTACTGACTGCAACAGAGGGTAAATCTCTAAGCACAGACCACAGGATCACTTCTTTCAGCAGAAAGATGTGCAGAAAGCTGTCCCAGGATCTGAAGAAAACTTCATCTGAGRAGCAGAGACCCTCTCTGCACTCAGGCCACAGCAGTTGGACGACCACAGCTTTTGTTAGTACTGTAAGAAATGCCATGCCTGGCACCCTGGGGCAGTGCTCCAAATCACTGGAGCAATGAAAGCAACTGAGCAGTTTGATGCATCCCCATCCATCAAGAAAGGGCCTGTGTGTCAAGCCTCACTAGGGTAAGAAGTGTCAGGGACCTCAGATGAGCTACAGGCATGGTGCTGGACTGTCACAGCCCTTAACTGATTGCACAAAATAGTGAAATCACAGTRAAAAGGTGAGTGTTTGCAGCTCTAGAGATAATATCTGCACTTTGCATGGCAACACCCAAGCTCCAGCAGCAACTAGTGCAGAGGCCCACAAGAACCAAGAAAAGACTAGGGCTGGGCAAATCTCTTGTCATTCCCTTCCCCACCTGTGCAGTGCGAGTAGCAYCACCTGCCAATGGCAGAGGATGCTGTGAAACATTCAGATAGATCAGTAATAAAGCTTGGACATGTACTGCAGGAAGCCAGATGGAGAAAGCCATCTGATGGTATCAGCTGGGACTGGAATTTGGTGGATCACRCTTAGCTGAAAGCCTTCACACAGGCAAGAACCCACCCAGTGTTTTTCTCCAAACTCCAAACTGTTTCAAATCTACAGCACTTCCCCCCMCATCTTTGCACTCATGCAGAAGCTCCATCCAAGTTCATATTGCATAACCTATTCTGCCATTCCATTGTTGTTGTCTTCACTCAGTATTTGCCTTACAATGCACCAAATAAGTCATGCAGCAAAACAAGGAAGAAAAAACAACAGACAAAAAGATGCTCCACCTATAACATCGCTGGCCTCTCTGGTCTGCAAAAAACCCACAGAGCCTCTTTAAAAACTCAGAAAAATTAGAAGATTATAGAAAAAGAAWGTTATTTCCAAGGACAGTGGTTTTGCCCTCACACAGAAAATCACTTTTAATCACATTTTGTTTTTCAGTCATTTACAGCATACTCAACTGAAGGTCATAATAGGCGCTTCTCATCTGATTTCTATGAAGACCATGAGTACTGCATGAAGAGGATTTTCTTTTAAACACAGGTCCTGCTCAGCTGAAAGTGAATGGCTGTTTTATTTCCCCACAAATATGTATGTAAATGTCTCAGCTGAAGAACTTGGAGAGATTAGCTATTTGCATACTACAAAGGCATAGGTCCCCAGACATTCTTCTAACTTCATACATACTGCTGCTACTTAATAATGAAAGACTAACCCTTCCACACTAGACCTGAAAAATCTGTGTAATTGGTTCCAACTCAGGTSTAAGACATGGATGGGAATAATGCAACAAAAATTCTAATCTCTCAACCTACTAGTATTTATTCTCTGGTTAGCCAGTTTACCTTTCAGGGAAGACAGGGACAAAAATCAATGACAGAGATTATCCCAGCAAATTATAACAGCTGGGAAATCAGCAACAAGTCCTGGGGCAACAAGATGTGAGTCACTACAGGYTAAAAAGAACTTTTCAGCAACCTTCCCAACGAAGATATCCAAGGCCACATCATAATGTTCTTCTGAAGAAAGCTGAAGGAAAGTCTCCAGGCTGTAAAACTGATGAATGTCTTCACCATGGGCACGTCAGAAAGGTGCAACAAGACATGACTGCCTTTTATTCCTAAAGGACATGCCAGCAGCCCCTACCCAGCATACAGTTTGCAGCTATTTTGGGCATCAAAAGAAGGCAAAGAGAAACCACCAAAAGTCTTTACACAGCTCAGGAGTGAAAAAATGAATCCATCCTGGCTCTGGTAGAATCAGATASAGCCAATACACAGTATGGGAGACTTTTCAGCCTTGCTAGAAATATTATCTTGGGACTGGGAAAAAAGCAATCAAAAACCCACACCAAAAACGCAACAACAAAAGCAAGAAAAACTACACCAAAAAGAAGGCTAAAAATTTAAGCCTCGGTGATGTCCACTGAAACCTATATACACCCACAGGTAAGACAGGTCTTTCCTGTTCTTTCCTGAACTCTTTTTCCAGGCAAAACAATATCTGAACTAGTCCTTTTCTTACACTGGTTGGAATAGAACTCMTCAGCTGATGCAGGTCTCTGCCAAGCCTGGCAGGCAGTGAAACACTGTAAGCAAGGCCAGACAAGCTTTGGAGGTCATCAAGTCTCTCTGTGGGCTTCTGAAAGATGTTTCACTCTCCGGGTGATAAAATTTTCCAATACCAGACAAGATATATAGCTTTTTAGAGCTATCTAAGACACAGAGCTTTTCTAGGCTCTAGCAAATCAAAATTGCTCTCAATGAAGCCTCAATCTGTCAAAAATGATGTTCAGTCCTTTGACAGATCRGGTCCTGAGTGCCCACTTCTTACCACTGATGAGAACATGTCAGAGTGTGCCTGTTCCTGGAACTCAGAGGCACTGCTGAGAAAATGCTCATTTASAGAAAAGCACCTTAAAATAGGAAAATCTATTCCCTTTCTAGACATTTACCGTATTTACTGCCCAGGGATCCCAAATCCTCTACAGGTATCACCCAAATCCCACATCACCAAGCAGAGAGCAGATAACATTATAGAACAGGATGCAGCTAGAATATGGGACTTGCCCCAAATCCAAGAGGTTATCTGTGACAGATTCAGAGCCGAATCTACATTCTCTTGGCATACAAACTCACATTTTCACAGAAAGACCACCCATTTCTCTGTACCACAATACAAAGAAGAGCAAATACTATGTTCAGTTTTGATATAAAGGTATATAATGCAGGCAGGGAAAGCAAGGCATACCACAGTGACAACAGAACATACATGGAAAAATAAAATGTCAGCATAACTTACAGGAGCTGCGTTGTTTTTCACTGTGATACTCGGAGTTGTGGCTCGTAGCGCCCCACTCACGCCATGGTAGTACTTGAAGCAGATCTTTGTTTCAGCTAAGAAAAAAATCCAAAAAGTATATTTAAGATTAGAAAAACTGCCAGGGAGAAGCTGCATGATCAGCTGAAGCTCACAGGCACAAGGCTGGCAAGGAGTTAAACTGTGAATGGTTCATTCTGTCTGGCTGGCATGACATTATACCTCCTGCTTCTGATCTTTGCCAGGGTGAAATCTAGACTTTGGTTCATGGATTTAAAACAGTTAAAACCCAAACCTCTTCTGAGCAGAAGTTACCACAGGCAGACCTTAGAGCACCTTTAGTAAGAAAAAAGTAGGGACATATAAATCTTCCCTGTTCAGACATACCCAGCACTAATGTGCAGAGAAATTGAGGAACTTCCTTAGGACAAGATTGCATAGCTGCTCATTGACAGGTTTCACTGTGTCAATTTGTTCTGGCCTTGGTCAGGGCAAGGATGTAGATCTCCAAAGATTTAACTGCTCTGCCAGTTAAACACTAAAGCATTTTTCAGGAAGAGCAGAGTACCACCAGACCCCGCCTTAATGTATTTCCAMTGACTTTTAAAGATTTAAATTAGGTGATGAACACAGGAAAGGTCGTGATTTTTGACACTCACAGCGCTGCTCTTTGCCACATGCATTGACACTCAAATTAATAATATTGAGGGAAATTCATCTCAGTAATTGTATCAAGGCACAGATGTGAAAACAGCTTCTTGTTAATCATCCCCTCTAAACTCACTTTCTTGTCTGCTACAAGAAGGAAAGACAGTTCCAGACACCTTCTGTTGCTCTGTGACTACAAACAGATGCAAAGTGCTGCTATTTACCTACTTGTCTGAAACTGGTGACCTGCTGGAGCACATCCTGGCCTACCTGCTGGCATGCAAGAGTTTTCTATGAACTAGATGTGAACCGGCTTGGTATGTGCCTACATACAGTCAGGACACAGCAATTATGTACTGTTACACGTATGTTTGCGGATCTGAAAAATGCCTGTTTAAATAAAAGAAGCTTTCACATCTTTTAGTTTTAAYTGCATAACAACATGGGAATATTCATCTCTTCCATAACATACTTGAAGGTGCTTTTCATAACCAAGGTTTTTTTAAAATCTTCCTGTGCAGGTGCTGCTGAAACTCAGGAAATATCAGCCTTTGTCTGCAGAGCTACAACAACACTTACTACAACTAAAGCGTCTATGATTAAAAAAGAAAAAAGAAATGTCAATTACATGTTTTAACACACAAATTGCATTGCAGTTTTAACACCAGTAGCAAAATAAGCCAAATCACTGCAGCTGTGACAAAATATTATGCAATGTTAAGAGCTGCRACTTTGGCCACAGATTATGGTGCTGTGATCTGCTGTTTGCCAAATCCAAGAAACAACCTTGCAGCACTCCAAAGAAGCAAAACTTGGGACACGAAAAGTGGTGGAGACCCTGAACAACGTGGGCCTGAATTGCTTAACCCTGACACCTACACAGGAACACACAAGAGGAAAAAGAAATTGTGATCTTTTTTGAAGGACAAAATAATTTTTAAAGTGCAAAGCCTTCCCAATTTTCACATGTGACTTGGGAAACAAAAAGCAAAGAGGTTATGTTCCCAAGTAGTTCGAGCACTAYTTGCTTTCAGGTGGCTTCCCAGTCCTCTAACCTGAGGAGTGCTGCAGGAATGCACAGTCCATCGATGAGAAGCACAGTGCCAACACACCAGGGTAATCTGTCACCCTATTTTTCATCCCCTGTTCTTCATCAGACAACCAGGTGCATATTTCTGCTCATACACTGAAAATACATGCCTCTCCCACTATATTCACTATGTAGACGTGTCCCATTTACTTCACAGCACTCCACAATTGGAACAGGCTACAAAGTCCTTCAGCACCTCCACGAGGAGCTTTGGGGCCCATCYTGGGGTTGAATTCATAACTATACCCCCAAATGAAATTCTGCAAGYTCAAGAGATTTACTTGAGGTGTCAGTGCAGCTGAGCAAGCGACCCTGCTGTTGCACCTGGGAGCGGCAGTTTTTTCCTTTTGGCAGCAAAAAAAAGCTGAATGAGCCTGTGGGACAGAAAAACTGCAAGTCCAGATTGTATTTTCACGTTGTAATTTTCTCTACAGGACTTTTAACAGCTCAGCAGCTAACTCATTTACTCGCTGAGAGGACAGCAAAAGCTGAGGATATCACAATATCTAAAACATGCAGTTCTCACCAATTATTCAAATCTTAATGTTCGTCTCCCCCAGAGATTTTTAGCTACAGTTTGCACAGAACATTGAGAGCTAGAATAAAGACAAGCTTTTGTTTTTTTTTTTTTAGTTGTGTTTTTTTTTTTTAAATTTTATTAACGTGTGATGTTAATAAAATATAACTTCAAGTATTAGCTTGTATGACAATGTTCAGACCCCACAGCAGGAAATCTTGTCGTAGGTTGACAAGTAGGAAATCAGCAACCACGTGCATCAGGAAAATTTTAAAAGAATACRTTTAATTAAAGTAAAAGTATTAGAGAGAACAGGAGGAGAGAAGAATATAATCATGTGTAGTTAATCTGGATATTAGTACCACTTTTAGGGACAAAAAGTTACTCTGATGTCTGAATATGTATTTGGAAAGAACCATGTGGGTACTATATTTTCACACTGCAATTTTCAATTTAATTTGCCCACATACAGGTGCAAACTGGCAAGAAAGCAACTCAAGAGAGATGCAAGTATCACACTGAATCCAAAACAGTGGCAGAATTGGAGCCATTCATCAAGCAGTGGTAGAGGTGGTGCTTAATCACCTCATTCATCAAATCAAAGATTTCAGAGAACAGATCTGAGGAAGAATGTYTCCTGGAGGCCTTCGTAAGTTGAGAAATTGCTCTAGAAGCATCAAAGGAACAACATTTTCTTTTTTCTAGATTTCTCCCTCCGCTTTTGCTTATATTGTTTCCATACTGAAAATATGCAAGTGTCTATTTTCAACATTAAGACAAAACTTCAGCAAGTATAAAACTTGCAAAATTATGTACAGTTTCTTTGTGTGTAAAAATGCCACTAGGACTACAGCTGGCCAGTTTTTGGCCATGAGCCATTCTTTCTAAATAACATTGTTTTGGCGCAACAGAGTYCTAACATTTTAATTCATCTGAAGATTGCCCTTGCATTCCTGAATCACCTCTGAGACATTTCCAAAACACATTTAGAAACCTGTAGGCTTGGTACCACTGCATCTGCAGATAAACAGAAAGCACTGGAAGTATAGCAGTAATAGACATTAACCTGAATATTTTCCAGCTGGCATTTGTAAATAATAGGTACTTACAAAGGCTTTTTGCATTGTAGTCTTGTAGATTAGCTTGTTCTGGAGTAAAGAAGACCATTTAACTGTGYCCTGCTGCCTTAGCTACATGGCATAGTGCACAGGTCAGGAGTAGGTGTTGTCTAGTTAATCCCCAGTTATAAATAAATGTGCACCATTGTTATTTTCATCTCCGATTATTTAGAGAYCATTGAATCCAGTAATGAAGTGCTGATGTTAAAGTTAGAAAGTAATGAGGTTAAATTCTTCTTTCAATTAGCAAAAGAGCTAATGAAACTGGTAAACCTTCCAAGAGATGAGATGCCTAAAGGGGTTTATAAATAGTCATGTCTRTGGCAACTACCAAACTACTCAGCAATTCACATGGATCAAGAACAAACAGCATTGTACTTCCTTTACACTGGGCTTGGTATCTCCATTTGTGCCACTTTTGGCTGGAGTAGAGTTMATTTTCTTCACAGTGGCAGRTATGSGGYTGTGTTTTGGATTTGTGCTGAACACAGGGTTGATAATAYAGAGATGTTTCTGTTGCTGCTGAGCAGGGCTTACACAGACCCAAAGMTTTTTCTGCTTTTCACACTGYCACACTGGCCAGGAGACTGGGGGTGCATAAAAAACTGGGAGGAGACATATCTGRGACAGGTGACCCCAGCTGACCAAAGGGATATTCCAGACCATATGACATCATGTTCAGTATATAAAGTGAGGGGAAGAATGATGAAAGATGGGGATGTTTGGAGTGGTGGCAATTGTCTTTCCAAGTAGCCATTGCACATAATGGAGTCCTGCTCTYCTGGAGATGGCTGAACACCTGCCTGCCCATGGGMAGTGGTGATAGAATTCCTTGTTTTGCTTTGTTTGTGTGCACAGCTTTTGCTTTCCCTATTAAATCRTTTTTATCTCAGCCCAGTTTTCTGGCTTTTACCCTTCCGATTCTCCTCCCAATGCCAYTGGAGGAGGAGTAAGAAAGTAGATRTGCAGGGCTTTGCTGCTGGCTGGGGTTGAACCATGACAGCACTACACCATTACTGCGTTACAGCTTTCTGCTGCATTGATATAAATAAGGAACTCCCCAAGTTGTATGCTCAGATCCACCCCTGTGACTATTACAGGTGCAGGAAAAATACAACTGCCCAAAAGGAAGGCCCTCAAGGTATGGCAAGGAAGAATAATCAGAGCCAGGCAACAGGAGGGGTGATTTTGTTTTCCTCCTTGCACCAAGCACCTGTGTGGGCCACACAGGTTAGGAGAACGGGAGAGGAACTGGGATGTACTTCATCCTTAGACATCGCAGAGACCACTCCTCATTCAGAGGAAAGCACTGCAAAGTTTGACTTTTGCCAGAGAAACTCTGCCACAGGGCTTCATTCCTCTCACAAGAATAAAGTTAATTTCACAAARATTATTTCACTTTCAAAGTCCTGAGTTATCTCAGTTACCAAATCAGTTCTGCAAATTAACTGGAACATTAATTTATCAGCTGAACATTACTCAGGCAATAGTTTACACTGCCTCTGCAACCACGCAGCCCTTGAAAACACTCATTATGAAACTGAAGTGAGAGGACAAAATCTAGTAGGGTCTGCTGATGAATTGCAACTGGAGGTATTGAAGGCTGAAAGTTTCCAAGATGGCTCCTAGTTCCTCTCATCCAGCCACTTTTCCATCAGTGTTCTTAGTCCTGTTGGTTTATTTGATACCCTTTCCCTTTAAAAT